ACCAGGTGGGTTCATTTAGGTCGCCTTGACAACACGACTAAGATGGTGGAAAACAATTTCAGGCAGAAACAAAATAATGTCATTTGAAACATTTTCATTCAAAATATATAGTCTACTTAAATATGAATAAAGTAGGATAGAGCTTATTTAATTAATAGGATTACTTCACATTATGATAAATTTCGAAAAAGTCCTCTAGTCTTGGGCAATTTTCAATGGTTTTATTGAGGACAGGTTCAATCAAATTATAAATCAGATTTCTTGTTTATCAAAGTAGATTAGCCCTTTATTTATTAGGAATCCCTTATGTGATTACATACCACTTTGTTGTCATACAAAAACGGACTTACTCTTTTTCCATTTCCACCAATCCAGGAGTGTAGTAGCTGGCAGTGAGGATATTCTTCTTGTGCTTAATGCAGTAGCGCATCACCACGGGATGGAAAACCCAGGGTACCATACTGACGACAAGGTCTGTCTTGGAGATCAGCTCATCGACTCGGGCTTCGTCCTTCAGAACGTCCACCTCCTCCGGCCTCACTTGATTGAACTGGTCGCATACAGAAAAGAGATCAGCCTTTGAGTTGGAGGCTGAGTGGTTTCGAGGGCAATTGTTTTCCATTAAATGTTAGTGATTTTGTAGTTGAATGATTATGTGTTGACGAATGGTAGAAAGCGTGAGTATGGGATTGACCACACATGGAGTCACGATCTCGCCCTTTTCATGGGAAAGTTGATGCAGTTTTTGAGTGCAGGTAGACACATAAGTGGGCAGATGAGGAGGGATACAAAGAGGAGGGAGGGAGGGAGGGAAGATGTCAGTAATGAAAATGAAGAAAAGTGAAAAGTATTTGTCAAAAAGGAGGATAATAACCTGTCGACTGAGGGGAGCCGAGGTATGAATACATTCCATTGTGTGTGTGTGTATGTATGTATGTGTGTGTGTATGTATGTGTGTGTGTATGTATATATATATATATATATGTGTGTGTGGGTGTGTGTGTGTGCAAGTGTGTGTGGGTGTGTGTGTGTAAGTGTGTGTGTGGGGGGGGACGT